TTGGGGGGGGGGGGGGGGGGGGGGGGGTTGACTTGTAAATTGAAAATTAGATTACTTGAGGCCCCTGCTTGCAATTAGGGTTAGGATTTAAATTTAAGATTTAAGTCCCTAATATTTTAAAGTTCATTCAAATTGGGCCATTAGGTTTTGGGTTTAATAATTCAATCCTTAAAGTTTAAAAATTAATTAATTCGGGGCATTAAAGTTCTGAATTTTATAATTAAGGCCCTCAAACTTTAATACTCAATTCAAATTGGCCCCTAAAGCTTTAATTTATTATAATTGAACCCCTAAAGATTTGAATTGATCGATTTTGGTCCCTAAAGTTTCAAATTTATTAATTTTGGCCCCTAAAGTTTGAAATTAATTAATTTTGCCCCCTAAAGTATTGAATTGTTAACCCTAAGGCCCCTAAAGTTTAAAACTAAACAAAATATGCAAAATTGGTGATTTTCTATCTCAAGTTTTGGTACTAAGAACTCTTTTTAAGGATATAATATTCGAAAGTGAATTAATTGAAGCAACATGTTGTCAAAGAAACCTCTCTTGTGGAAATTAATTAACTTAGAATATTAAAAGGTGTTTGTGCATGTGTTATTCATGGGAATATTGATCCGCCCAAAGGAAGGTTAATATTTAGTCGAATACACGTGTACCTGTGGTAATAAACATGTGACGATTATTTGGTTTAATGTGTGATCAATAAATCTATCCAAAGAAAGATTTATTGATTGACAAGTTGTTTTATTGTTAATGTCTGATCACTACGCTAAGAGTACCGATTACAAGTTAATATTTCTGTCCAAAGACTAGTTATTGATGTTGTGCTAAGTATCTTGTGATGGGCCCTACCACTATTTGATATTATTATTATTATTATTATTATTATTATTATTATTATTATTATTATTTGCATATTAAAGATATTCATGTAAGCTATTCGTAATAATCGTTCTCTAATTCAGTTTCAGGTTTTGCTGCTAATATCTCTGCTTGCATCAATTCAATTACAATGCTTAATGGCACAAATTTCAGGGCATGGCAAGAGAACATGATGATTGTTCTCGGAGTCATGGACCTGGATCTTGCTTTACGGGTCGATCAAACTGCCGCAGTTACTGATAGGAGTACCTCTAATGATAAGAGGGTGATGGAAAAATGGGAACGATAATACCGCATAAACTTAATGGTCATGAAGTGTGCTATTCCAGAAGCATTCTAGGACGCTATGTCCAGTAAGGTGACTACGGCTAAGGGTTTCCTCGAGGATCTTGAGAAGAGATTTGCCAAGAATGAAAAGGCTGAAACAAGTATACTTTTGGCATACCTTGTCTCAATGAGGTATGAAGGGAAAGGAAACATTCGGGAGTACATTATGAAAATGTCTCACATTGCTTCAAAACTAAAGGTACTCAAGTTGGATTTATCTGAAGACTTGTAGGTTCACTTAGTTCTAATATCCCTTCCGGCACATTTCAGTCAGTTCAAGGTGAGATACAACTGTCAAAAGCACTCATGGTCCCTTAATAAGCTCATCTCACACTGTATCCAATAAGCTCATCTCACACTGCATCCAAGAAGAAGAAAGATTGAAGCGTGAGAAGACAAAAAGTGCTCATTTGGCCACCACATCTAAGTACAAAAGGAACAAGAAAAGGAAAATTAATACGGAAGCTACGAGTACAGCATCCTAAAAGAAATAGCATAAGGAACTAACTGAATATGGTTGTTTTTACTGTGGAGCTGCAGGTCATAAGAAAAAGATTGTACTAATTACCATGCATGGCGTGTAAAGAAAGGCATTCTTCTTCATTTGGTTTGTTCTGAGGTTAATTTAACTTCGGTACCTAGACATACATGGTGGATAGATTCTGGTGCAACAACTCACATCAGTGTGTCTATGCATGGTTGCATGAGTTGTCGAAATCCAAGTGACAGTGAAAGATACATATATGCTGATGGCGGCAAGACGGTGGAAATAGAGGCAATAGGAAAATTTAGATTATTGTTAAAGGCTGGTTTCTATTTAGATCTTGATTAGACATTTATTGTACCATCTTTTAGACGAAAGTTGATTTCTATTTCTGTTTTGAAAAAATTGGTTATTCCTGTTCATTTGGAAATGAAAAATTTAGTTTGTTTCATGATTCAAAATTGGTTGGTTTTGGTTCTTTATCAAGTTACGATAATCTTTATTCAATTGATACAATTGCTTCTTTTAATTAATCATGGCATGTAAGTACTCGAGGTGTAAATCGAAAATTAACCACCAAGAATTTTGCCTCGTTGTGGCACAAGAGATTAGGTCACATCTTCAAAAAGAGAATTGAGAAACTTGTGTTTGATGGGATTCTCAACTCTCTTCACTTCACAAATTATGATTTGTGTGTCAATTGTATAAAAGAAAAACAAACCCGTAAAAGGAAATTACAAACCAATAGGACTTCAAATATCTTAGAACTTATACATACGGATATTTTTGGACCATTCTCTACGGGTTCTTGGAACGGTCAAAATATTTTATAATGTTCATAGATGACTTTTCAAGATATTGCTATATATATCTCATTCATTAAAAATCACAGTCACTGGATGTGTTCAAAAACTATAAAGTCGAAATTGAGAACCAACTCGGCAAAAGGATTTAAAATGTCAGATCTGATCGTGGGGGTGAATACTATGGCTAATATGACGGTTCAAGTAAATAATTTTCAGGACCATTTGCTGAATTCCTAGAGGAATACAGTATCGTCCCACATTACACTATGCTGGGTTCACCCACTATGAATGGTGTTGCTAAAAGAGGAAATAGAACGCTTAAGGACATGGTGAGGAGTATAATTAGTCATTCTACCTTACCAGAATCTCTTTGGGGTGAAGCATTAAAGACTGTAGCATACATACTCAACAGAGTTCTGGGTAAGGCTACTAATAAAACTCTTTATGAGCTTTGGATTAGCAAAAAACCTAATTTGAAGCATATACACATTTGGAGATGTCCAGCTAAGGCAACGCCCTATAAGCCAAATGAAAAAAAAATTAGATGCAAGGACCATCAGTTGCTACTTGATTGAATATTCTGAAAGATCTAGGGGTTACAAGTTTTATGATCTCACAACTAAGGCAATTTTTTAGATAGAAAATGCTCGGTTCTATGAGGATGTTGAGTTTGCGAGGGAGAAGAGAAAGGATTACTTGCTTTGTCTTTGAGGAGGAATATGTTGAAATTCCTCCAATCGCCATTGACAATGATCAGGTTTCTATCCCTGACATTGCTCAAGAAGCAACTTCGGATCAAGACAATGGCATATCTTTCTCTCAAGGTCAATAAATTGTTTGAGAAGAACAAACTCTATAGCCTCAAGGACCAATGCCATTAAGAAGATCCACTAGAGAGAGGAGAAGTGCGGTTTCGGATGATTACATCTATTTCTTCAAGAATATGAAGTTGACATTGGAATGGTGGAAGATGATCCGATCAACTTCCATCAAGCCATGGAAAGTTCCAACTCTCAAAAGTGGCTCGATGCCATGAATGAAGAGATAAAGTCCATAAAGGACAATAACGTATGGCATCTCATTCCATTGCATGAATGTGTGAAACCCATTGGTTGCAAATGGATATTTAAGACCAATAGGGATTTGAATGGTGATGTAGAGAGGTATAAGGCTCATCTTGTCGCAAAGGCATTTACACAGAAAGAAGGTATCGATTATAAAGACACTTTCTCTCCGGTTTCTTCGAAAGACTCTTTGAGGACTATAATGGCATTGTTAGCGCATTTTGATCTTGAGTTACATCAAATGGATGTTAAGACAGCATTTCTC